TGACCATAATAATAATGATAATAATAAAATAAAATAGTATTAATAAATGAAAGTTACTTATATATTTAGTAAATTTAAAAAGTTACTTATATATTTAGTAAATTTATTCTTAATACTTTATCTAATACTTTAAATATATATAATACTTTATCTAATACTTTAATATATAATACTTAATATATAATATTTATCTAATACTTTAATATATGATACTTAATATATAATATATAATATAATATTAAATATATAATACTAATATATAATACTTTAAATATATATAAAATACATAGTTGTACTATGTATCATTAATAGAACTTTATTTTCAAAGAAGCGAGTGATAAATTTTCGACTTGAAGAAAAATAAATTCAGAAAAATAAAGAAAATAAATTGTTGAATTTAAATCATTAACTCTGTTAAGTACACACACACACACACACACACACACATATACATAACTTTCACAGTTTATTAATATACTACTTCTATACTACTTCTACGTTGTTTCATTTGGAGTTTATTTTCACTAGCATCGTTCGTACAACAAATTTATAACGTCACCACAATGGAACAATAACATTTATACACGTTTGTAAATAATTTCTGTAAATTTTCATTTTTATTTTTTTAGGCGCGCTCACCTTTTTCAGTTGCGATCTGAAGAACGGAGGGAACGCGATCACGCAGAATCCAAAGATGAGGAAGAGGCCACCGATGATGCCCAATTTCTTCGGCTTCATAGTAATGTACTAAAACCAATCACAGTTGTCGCTGTTATCACCATTTTTTTCAATCAGACACTTTCTTCATAAATTCACTAATACACAGATTCGTATGAGTGAAGATAACTCGGAATATATATAGACAAAATACACCAGAACAATAAATATAACACGTTTTTGACACTGTTAAGTTAACTTCCTCGAGCCTTCAAAATGAAGCAAATGAAGAAAATCTACGAATTCGTAGCGTTATGAATTTCGATCGATTAATATATCATACTATGGAGGAGTAGAAGAAATAATAGTAATAACAGGGGAAAGAAAAAACTGGTTTTCTCTTCGTTGGATTCGTGGATATCGAATGATGGATAATTATTGTAATTGTATGAAATATTCGTATATTATTCACAATATTTCTCTATAGTGATTAACTTATGAAATTATTATTTTTCTCCCTTGTAATAAATATCACGATTATTTTCTCTATTTTTAATATTTATCTTACTGATTTAATTTTAATTAATTTTAATATCTATTTTAATAAAATTAATTAATTTTAATCAATCTTAATAAAATTATAACCTTAATAATTTAATTAATCTTAATAAAATTAATCTTAATAAAATTAATTTTAATATCTATTTTAATAAAATATCTTAATATTTGTCTTTAATATTTTTTTTAATGCAATACGTATTTTAAATATTCTTGTCTGCTTTGTATTCTTTGAGAATATCAAATTCTTTAATATTCTTGAATCCTATAATATTTAATATTTTTTTATAATATAAGACTTTCGATACATCGTTTATATTTTAAATATTATCAGTTATCACTGTTAAACAAAAGTTAAACGAGAAATTATTCGCACACCTTCATATTGGCCTAGAGAATACGACGTCGATCGAGAAGAGAGTACTCGAGCCTTTACCGGCTTCTTCGTTCAGTGCCGTGGATCTTCAAGTAGTTACGTGAAAGAACTTATTGTTAGAAAGAAGTTTTGAGCCTCGATTGTCCAACGATTACTGGACGATAGGCGTCCACTCCTGCATCACCACGTGTATAGCTGATATTTTTCACGCTACTTGTCACTGTTTGACACGAACAATATTGCTAAACAAAGTTCAAATTCTCTTCTCTTGAAGAAAATCCATTCGAACTTCCATCACGATGAACTTTGAACATAAAGGTCAAATGATGAGAACTCAAGAAAATTCTAACATGTCGTCCTTTAGGCCTGATTAATTTAAGTTCAATAAAATGGTGAAAAAAAAAA